AAAAAAAACCAAGGGGTGAAAAAAAAAAAAAAAAAAAAAAAAAGATGAGCGCTAGGTCGGCGGTGGTGGCACAGCAGTAACTGTGTCCCATGACTGCGAGGCCACACAGGAAGGTCCCCGGCCCGCATCCCGAGGTCTCCCTGTGCCCACTCACACATGTGCCTATGCCTGTTACCCTGCCTGGCTGAGGCTGGTGGTAGGATTATGGCATGGATCCGGTCAGGGGTATCTCTCTCTCTCTAGGTCTCCCTTCCTCTTTTTATAAAAAACAAAACTAAACAAAATAATGATGTACTACTGTGTAGTATAGAGAGAAGTTCTTCTCTTCCACTTTCCATATTCCTGGACTATTTTTGGAGCAAGGTTAAAGACAGGTAAAGACAGGTTAAGACTTAGAAGGTTAAATCAGGGAATATCTCATTATGCACCGCATTGTATTATTTAGGGCCCAGGTGGCCGAAACAGAGATCCAAAAAATATAGTGACAAAAAAGAGAAAAGTATTTTTGTCTGTAACGCGCCCTCCCAGAGTGAGTAGCCCAGCTCTGACAAAGTAGCTGCCCCACAAGGCCCTTAAGACCCGGTTCTATCCATCTTGCGTCTGCACTGTCACCTGTGGTAGGTCACATGGGTAAAGTTCACCAGCACCTTTTCCATCAATCAGGAGGACAGTAACAAAGAGCAAGGCATTTCCTTTTCAAAAGAATGAGACCTTGAACTCGTGCACACTTCACCCCCACTCACCGCAGTGTTGGGGTCTTGGCCGCAGGGCCACCCATGTCTCAAAGAGAGGCTAGAAAAAGTGACTCTTGCTAGACAGCGACACAGTCAACTAAAATTCTACGGATTCTCTTCCGGAAAGAGAAGGACAGAATGGATGGTGGGATCAGTAAGCAGTTTCCGGAGGGCATCATACAAGGACTACTGTTTTGTTGACTCTGAGTCATTATTAACTTTGAGACACATCATCGTGTTATGTACCACGAAGTAAGAAAAACCAGACTATTTCAATGGTGACAATGCTTCCTAAGGAGTTCAGTTGTAGAACACATCTAAACTTAAGGCATGTTAAGATGTGAGGGGAAAAGGTGTCTTGGTATAAAAGAAACACAGTATTGCGAAGACGGGAGAGAAAGCAATCCGAAGACGGTCGTTTCGCTGTCCTCTCTCGTGCGTGACTTCCTGCAGCAGACACAGGCACAGATGTGAGGCTTTGGTTGACCCACGGAGTTCAGTGTTGAGAGTGTGGGATTGGCAAGGTGCTGTCAGCGTGGCTTTGCTCCAAGTCCAATTCTTGTGACTGCTGGTGGAGAGACTTTTGGCGCAAAGGCTTGGGGAAGTCTGCCTACATTTCCACTCCATCGAGTTGGGTAAACAGACCAAAGGGGTCTTGTCATTCGTTGCTGGGGTTCTCACTTGGTAGGACAAACGCTGAGAGCAGCCCTCTGAAGGAGCAGATCCGGCCCTAACTTCTTGCTTCAGTTTCTGGGCATCGCACAGCGGAGAGCACCAGGCCTCAGCTGGATTCCATAACACGGTCCCTGCCTACCAGGAGCTCCAGAGCTTCTGGGAGCAGCAGGGTAAGTAGACCGTGAGGGGTATGCAGTGCTGTAGAGGCTACTCCACTCTGAGGAGGAGAGGCACACACTGGGGCAGTCGGTTCTAGCTGAGGTCAGAAAAACCCTCCCAGAGGAGGCGACTTCCGGGCCGAGGAAGCCGAAGGGCCTTCTGAGAGGTGCAGACTGAAGCTGTGTATGCATGGACGTTGCCGCAGAGGACACAGCATGAAGACCAACAGCAGCGAGGGCGCGGTTCTGCCCTCTAGCTGTTTCCCTTCATGGTGGCTTGCGCTTAGTTGGCCAACAGCAATATTCGTTATACTGAACTAAAAATAAAACCAACTTCTTGGATAGCCAAGGAGAGAGGAGCTGAATTTTTCTGAATCAAAAAGACGCTAGGTTCCAGGATATGGACAAAAGCGAAAAGCTACCTGCAGTGCCTGCTCTTGGGCCTGACTTACTCTCTGGTATCGGGTGGTTGGAAAAGTCATGATGCATATTTGCATAGAAAAAAACACAGAAAAAATACACCATGGCTTTCCCGACAATCCAATTATTGGTCAAATTAGGATCTGAGGATTTAATATATAAAGAAACACTTGGGGGACCAGCAGTTAGTGTAATGGTTATGTTATTTGACTCCTATGTAGTCAACCACAGTTCAGGTCCCAGACCTGGTGGCTTAAACTCACACTAGGCATGTGTGCACACATACCCAAATCCCAAGAGGATTTAGAGGAGAACAGATTGTGGCATGGCCACAATCTTGCAATTCTTGCTTTCTGTCTTTCTCTCCTGGGAACACACAAGCCCTGCAGCAAAAATTTCTCTTAAAAAAGAAAGAAGGAAAGAAAGAAAGACAGACAGACTTGGTTGGAACCCACATGCTTTATCCACTTTTACGCCAAGTCTTTTCCAGTTAATAAATGTACAAATCTTTTCCCCTTGTTTATTCAGAGCAGTTTTTATTTGTTTGTTTGTTTACTTTTGAGAGATTTTTGCTATAGTGTGCGTGTGCTCACCAGAGAGACAGAGAGAAAGAGAGACAGAAAGCAAGAAATCACCCCCAGGGGGAATGACCACTCTACAATCCCTTCTCCCCCATTCTCCTCTTGGGACTTTGGATATTCACGTGCAGGCTTAAGTTTTTTTAAATCACCAGGTCCGGGACTCAAACCACGGTTGACTACATGGGAGTACAGCGATGTAACCATTACGCCATCTGCTGGTCCCTATCCAGAGCAGTTTAGCAGAGTTCTAAGTACTTAGCCTGATCCTAAGACAGGTGCTCAGTGTAGAACCACATCTCTGTCCTATTCGGAGTGCCAGACGACAAGTCTTCATTCTCAGGGAGGAAGACGTAATTGTGAAAGACCCCAGTCAGTTGGCTTCCACAGTTGGATTCGAAGCTCTGGAATGACAGATCTATCCTCTGCAGGTGTTTCTCACTGAATATTGCTCCTGAAATCTGCTTTTCTTACACAGGTCACTGTTACAGACGAGGAGGTTAGTAATCCGTCCTTCTTAGATCTGGTGAGAACTCCCCAGATGAGGAAGTGCACACTTATACTTATGTTTGCTTGGTAAGTTGACTTGTGATGGATTTAAACGTTCGTGCCACACTTACCACACGCTGCTTCCTTCAGTCAGGTGGAAGGTCTCTCACTTGTCCTTCCCCGGTGTCTTTCCATGTCGCTGCAGGTTCACAAGCGCAGTGGTCTATCAAGGGCTTGTCATGCGCCTGGGAATCGTAGGCGGCAACCTCTACATAGACTTTTTCATCTCGGGAGTCGTGGAGCTGCCGGGGGCGCTCTTGATCTTGCTAACCATTGAGCGCGTGGGACGGCGTCTGCCCTTCGCAGCAAGCAATATAGTGGCAGGAGTGGCATGCCTCGTCACCGCATTCTTACCAGAAGGTAACCCTCCCCCCAGAGATGCTTGGCAGCTGAAGGACTCGAAAACACTTACGATGACCAAGGGTGGGGAGCCTCCCGTCCTTGGAAAGGTACCTGCCTCGCAGTCTTGGCGGCGGGCATTCCTCAGCGTGGCCACTCGATGTCTGCTTCATCGGTGCAAAGACTTGGAAGATAAGAGAGCGGTTCTATCATTTTGTCTCTGTTTTCTCAGTGATCACATTCATTTATGGATGAAATAGGTGCTTGCTAAATCTACTGCGCTGTCAGGAAAGTCATAGCATGTTTTTGCATGGAAAAACATAGAACGGGACCAGCAGTTAGTGTAATGGCTATGTCCCTGGACTCCCACATAGTTGACTGCGGTTCGTGTCCCGGACCCGGTGGCTTAAAACTCACGCCGGGCGCGTGTGCGTGCGTGCCCAAGATCCTGAGAAGAGAATGGAAGAGAAGGGATTGCGGCATGGCCATCCCCCCTGGCGGGTGATTTCTCGCTTTCTGTCTCTCTGTCTCTCTCTGTCTGTCTGGCGAGCACACGCACCCTATGGCAAAAACCTCTCCAAAAAAAAAAAAAAAAAGAAAAACAGAGAACAATACCCCGTGACTTTCCCATTGCCCTGACAGTTCCCCGCGCTGCAGTTTACCGACGATCCCTGCATCAGACTGATGTCTGTGCTGTCACAAACATTGCCTCACCATTCCCGGACCGCTGCCACGGAGGTGACAGGGAGAGGACACAATTCACTCCAGAAAGACTTATGAAGAGGTGTAGACACTGTCATACTATCACAATTCATTGCGATAAATGAACTAATGGAGTTATTCACAAGATTCAGAAATAGAAAAGGGACACGGTAGGGGGCAGTTAACCCCAGCAACGAGTCTGGAAAATCTTCCCAGAAGTGAGAGTAAAGCGAGCGTGAAGAATGAAGTGCACAGGTAGGAAGGAAAGTAGGCAATCCTTCCCCGAGGTAGAAACCCTATGTGGGGTCAGGAATGGTGGCCAGGAGCCCTGAGAGAGTGCCACAGCAAGTCTGGTCCCCAGCCAGCCCGGGAGCCTGGGCGTCGTCCTGTGAGCTCGGAGCCATGGTCCGCAGCAGTCTGAGCGGTGGCTGAGGAGGGAGAGACGCTGAGAGCTGAATTAAGGTAGCCATGGGGCCCGGATGGGAGAAGGTGATTTCATGTCAGAGATATCGTGGAGTTAAGTTCTTCAGAGCCTGATGGCTGATGGAGGGGTATGGGGTAAGGCGGACACAGAGGTCGCAGGGGCTCCCAGTTACCACAACCCAGGGGGCCTTGGCCTGGAGCACAGCCCAGCTGGGAAGGACTTGTAATTCCCAGGTGTGGAGTGGGGGATCTGAGGGAGCTGGCTCCTTGGAGTCCCCGCGTGGGTCTAGGGAAGTGTTCCGCTGGTCTGTGCGAGAACCCCCTCAGGATCTGGGAGGACTGATGCTCTCACGGAAGTCAGAACAGTCAGGTATTTGCAGATGACTTTATTTAGCAGATGAAGGCTTATTAATTCTCGAAACATCAGGTCAATTTTATTTAAATAACATTACTGAAATGCCAATCTTCAGAATGGGGGTGGGGGAAACCTGCATGCTGCCCGTCATACCAGAGTGGTTGGTGGGGGAGAACTGCTTACTTACACTTCTCTTAGTTCCCTTGAGTCTGCTAGTTTCCTAGCGCTGTTTCATAAAATGCCCCAAACTCACACAGTCCTGGAGGCTGGAGGGCTGAGGCAAAGGGGCCCTGGGTTGGGTTCCTCCCAGGGGCTCCGAGGGAGGGCCTGCTCGAGGCCTCTGTCCAGCTGCTGGTCCCTCTGGCTCTCCTTGCCCTGCCTTGACATCAGTCAGGTCTCTGCACCCTCCCCCCCAGGTGACTTTCTCCTCTCTGTCTGGGTGTCATCTTAACTAATTATAGCCGCAAAGACCCTGTTTCCAAATATGGCCATGTTCTGAGTTTCCAGGTAGGCATGGATGGGGGCTGTCACTACTCAGCCCAGTCCACTGAGTTACTGTACCCTACGAGTTGAGGGCTCTCTGTAGCAACTGTCTATAAACTGATGTCCGTTTGGAGCTTTTTTTTTTTTTTTTGGGGGGGTTTTTTTGCTTTAGGGCGGGGGCCCTTCCCAGAATGAGGCAAAGGGGCCCTGGGTTGGGTTCCTCCCAGGGGCTCCGAGGGAGGGCCTGCTCGAGGCCTCTGTCCAGCTGCTGGTCCCTCTGGCTCTCCTTGCCCTGCCTTGACATCAGTCAGGTCTCTGCACCCTCCCCCCCAGGTGACTTTCTCCTCTCTGTCTGGGTGTCATCTTAACTAATTATAGCCGCAAAGACCCTGTTTCCAAATATGGCCATGTTCTGAGTTTCCAGGTAGGCATGGATGGGGGCTGTCACTACTCAGCCCAGTCCACTGAGTTACTGTACCCTACGAGTTGAGGGCTCTCTGTAGCAACTGTCTATAAACTGATGTCCGTTTGGAGCTTTTTTTTTTTTTTTGGAGAGGTTTTTTTGCTATAGGGCGCGTGCACTTGCCAGAAAGAGAGAGAGACAGAGAGACAGAAAGTGAGAAATCACTCCCCAGGGGGGATGGCCACGCCACATCCCTTCTCCTCCATTCTCCTCTCGGGATCTTGGGCACGCACACACACACACCCAGCGTGAGTTTAAGCCACCGGGTCGGGACGCAAACCGCGGTCGACTACGTGGGAGTCCAGCAACATAGCCAATACGTCAACTGCTGGTCCCCCATTTGGTGCTATTGATCCCCAGCCCCTAAGCTAGGAGTCGGGGAGAGAGGTGAGCAAAATGGACATCAGCCCTGTCCTCTGAGTGGGTCACGTGAGAGGGAAGGATGGGAAATCGGGGACATTAGAGGCTTCGTTGTTCTGTTTCACTCAGGCACTGCTCCGTTTGGGATTTCACGTCCCCGCAGGTGCTCACCGGGAGGCCAGGTGCTCTGCGTCCCTGAGAGACGGTCAGTCTTGTCCAGACCAGAGCCTCAGAGTTTATTCTTACCCTCCCTATGACCGAGACCACAGAAAGGAGACCGCCACCAGGGCGAACTGCCAAGCTGCCCAGGCCTTCCTCGGGTGTTCTTGTCCGGTCTCTCCCGGGCACTCCAGCCTGAGCTCCAAGAAATTTAACTTCTACCTTTGCAGAAGTTCCGTCTCTGGTCAATTCTTTTACCACCTGTGCACCAGCCCTCCCACCCCTGCCCCACTGCTTATAGTCCCCTAGGCTGAGGCATTCGTTCTCATGGTCTGTGGGGTAGGGATCCACCACCGTACGGAATCAGAAATGTGGGAAGAAAGGTTAATGGCTTAAGTGCGGCCCATCATTTCACCAAACAGCCTTCCCTTTCAGATTTTCTGGGGTCTGTTAGGATGATTCTAAGGTGTGTGGCATTCAGCATGGCTCCGGAAAGCAGTCACGGCTGTGTGACCAAACCCAGGTAGAAGGAACGAAGTGGTGCGAACCAAGTTATTTGTGACGAATCCTTGCGTATATTGGAACGTGAGCGACAAAGACTACTAGGCTTTTCTGCTTGTGGTGATCAGTTTGATTTTGGAGATAGAACTTCCTGAGGGGAGCTTTAGAATCGTCCTTAGCAAGCCTGCAAACTCATTGTTCTTTTTCCAGACACATGTTCTTTGTATGTTCTACAAATCTGGCTGCTGTCACAGTCACATCTCTGTCATAGCTGTAAAGACAGAACACGTTTCAATCCCTGAAGTGATTCCAGATATTCAGAGGTTCCTCCTGAGCCGCTGTCCTTCCCAGCCAGCGAATTAGCATCAGAAAGGCTTTTCCTCTTCCTCTCAGCTGCCCCTGAGGTCTTCAGCTGGGCCATGGCCCCTGCAGAGAATGCTGACGAGTGTTTTGGAGAAATCGCCTCTAAAATTGTCGCACAGAAAACCATTTAACCCAACTTTTCACGGGCTGAAGCATGAAATTCTGGAAAAAGAAATATTCTTTCTACCCGTATTCTCAGACTCACTGCTTTTAACCCAATTTCCAAACGCTAAAGTTCGGAAAAGAGCTTTCTTTCTCCATCCTCGCCTGCCATCTGTAATTTGAGTTTGCTTGGCATGGCCACAAACCCAACAGCTCTGTAACGTCTTCCTCTAGAAATAAAAAGTCGTCTTTTGCTCTGTAAGTGAAGAGTAAGTCTGTGTACCTTAATTTACATATCTGTTGGGACTTAAAACACATTTTGTTTCAGGACTCAGAGCAGATGGTACATTCAGAGGAAATTCAAAATCACGTTTATTTTAGATTCTGCCTCCTTTCTTCAATAATTGAGGTATTCGTAGTAGTATCTGGTAGCTCGGCAAGTCCTCATCAGAGAGGGACGTTGTTTCCCTGTGTCCTCTTATCACTCTGGAAGACTCTTCTGCTCCAGAGCTCTTGCAAACTGTCTTGTCAAGTCAGGGGCTCCTCTCTGTCCCCCAGTGTAGCAGGTACTGGACTCTACTGCTTGAGGAGTCGAGAGTCCTCCGGGTGAAGGTCAGCATGTCGGACAGACAGGGCGGCACAGGGCAGCACCTTGATGGCTTTCTCAACATTCCCTTGAACCGACTAGTTATTTATCTGAGTGGACCACACATTTTTTATGCTGTGTGTACACACTTGCTCTAATTTGGTTTCTTTTTTTTTTTTTTCTCTCATTTTTAAATTGCCAGAGGGCACGTGCACTCAGAGAGAGAGAGCACCTCCCAATGGGGGATGCTTTTTCTCCTTTTCCCTGTGTTCCTCTTTCCTATCAGGATTTTGGGTAGTCACACACACACTCAGCATGTTTTTCAAGCCTCCAGGGCCAGGATTTGAAGTATGGTCAGCCACATGGGATCTGGCTCCCCTAATCTCTGTGCTAAGGGACTGGCCAGTTTCTTGGGTTTTTTTGTTGATTCTTTCTACCAAACAGTCTTTGTCTCAGCTGTAAACCCAAGTCGCCATGGAATTTGCCGGAAGAACTCAGAGCAATCGCCGTAGTAAAGGAAACCCGCGCTTTTGGTACCTGGGGAGGAATGATTCTGCCGCCATGGCGGCAGGCGGCCCTCCTCACTGCACCTGAGCACAGGGAGACGGCCCCACAGCCGGACCCAGGGCGTCGCTCGCGCCACCACACCAGTTGCTCATGGGAGGGTGGGGAGGAGGGGTGCATGTCCTCAGTCGTGCCTACCGTCCTGGTGAGGAGTCACCTGTTCAGGAAGCTATGATGGGTCTCCTAGTGGGCGAGTGAGCAACCTCGTGCTGACAGAGAACGTGAGCACCAGAAGTACAGGCTCGTGCTCGAAGACGGAGTGAGCCCAACCAACTCCGCCTTTGGGCCTCATCCCTCTGCTGTAGCCTGGGACAGTCGTTCACAGCCCTGAGCAGGAGTTCCTGCTTGGCTTAAATTCTTACCTGGGCTGTCATTCAAACCCCTGACTGAGATCACATCTGAAGCCACCGGCCTTTGACAATGAAAAAACCAACAGTCTTTGAGCCCAGGGCAGTCATGTCTACACCAGGTGGCCTGCTCCTCCTGGCCTCCAACCAGGCAGGCATATCCCCCATCCACATGCCCTGCTCAGCTCCCGGTGGCGGGGTGTGGGGAGGAGTCTGCAGCTACACGTGTAAGGGTCGTTTGTCCACCCGATCCTTCTCCTGCCTGTAAGTGGCCCTATGATAGCAAACCTTTCTGAAATTGTATGTGGATTCTCCTGCTTCACTTTCTGTCTCAGCGCCCAAAGACAGAATACCACGCCTGTGCTGGACACCCTTAGCTTTGCTTTGAAGGGCAGATATGGTCTTGGGCTATCCAAGACCTCAGCGTCCTCATGGGAAGTCCTCTAACACAGGTGACAGAAACTGCACAACTCTTAAGAAATTTAGAGACTTGGCCTTTTTCACAATTTTTTTTTTCACTATAGGGCACGTGCACTCGCCAGATAGACAAAGAGAGACAGAGACAGAAAACAAGAAATCACCCTCCAGAGGGGATGGTCACGCCACAATCCCTTCTCCTCCATTCTCCTCTCAGGATCTTGGGCACACACGCACGCACACGTGCCCGGCATGAGTTTTAGGCCACCAGGTCCGGGACTTGAACCACAGTTGACTACATGGTAGTCCAGCAACATAACCATTATGCCATCTACTGACCCCAGTTTGCAGAAACTTTTAAAGGTTAGCAATTTTTAAAAAAATTATAATCTACCAGACCAGTATATTAACTTCTATTGTGAGGGTGACATTCTTAGCTTTTTGAGGTAATTATCAGAAAGAAAAATCTCTTCTCCAAAATTGTACTCAGCTAGAATATTTAGATTATCCTTTCAGAGTTATTTCAGTATGTTTTGTTTTTAAAACAATTTAATCTCAGTGATAAATTGCCTAACAAGTGTGATAAAGACACTAAAATTCTGCTAAATAAACTATTTTTAGTGAATTCAGAAGTTTTTTCTCATGTTTGTTTTTTTGAAGAATTATGTATTTAAAATTTTAATTCATTGTTGTTATTATTTTTTAACTTGACCAGAGAGAGACTGAGAGTGGCGGAAAGGGAAAGAAAAGGTGAGAAAGCAAGTCACTAGGTCTAGGACTTGAACCACAGTCAGCCTGTGGGAGTCTATTTACCTTACCCACCATACCACCTGCTAGCCCCTCATCCACCAGGTCCGGGACGCGAACCGCAGTCGACTACGTGGGCGTCCAGCGACATAGCCATTACGCTAACTGCTGGTTCCCACAATTTTTATTTATATAAAGCAAAACTTACAGAATTTTTTTTCCCAACAGAGAACTTCCCATTCTCTTGTCTGTTAAATGTGACTTTTTGAGAGTAAAATAGTTTGTTCATTCTGCTTTTAAACACAAAAGAAAGAAAATATTTAGTAGGGACCACTTGGCATGTCCCACTGTTACCATGGAGGAGAGGAGAATTTCTTCATACAACCGAAGCAGCCCTCAAATAGCACATCTTACAATGAATGGGCCAGTTGGTAGTTAAGAACCTGGCTCTGGGCTGGCAGGTAGTATGGTGGTTAAGAGTGCTGGATTCCCACATGGCTAACTACGGATCAAGTCCTGGACCTGGTGAATTGCTTTCTCACTTTCTCTCTCTCTCTCACTCTGTCCATTTTGGTCAAATTAAAATAAATGAATGGGGACCAGCAGTTAACATAATGGCTATGTCGCTGGACTCCGACGTAGTCGAACGCGGTTCGTGTCCCAGACCCAGTGGCTTAAAACTCACGCTGGGCACGTGTGCGTGTGTGCCCAAGATCCCGAGAGGAGAATGGAGGAGAAGGGATTGCGGCATGGCCATCCTCCCTGGGGGGGTGATTTCTCGCCTTCTGTCTCTCTGTCTCTCTCTGTCTGTCTGGCGAGCGCACATGCCCGAAAGCAAAAAAAATCAAAACAAAAAAACCCAAAAACAAACAAACAAAAAGCTCTCTAAAATGAATGAATGAATGAATAAACTTAAAAAAAAAAAAAAAGAAGAAGAAGAATCTGGCTCCTTCTGAATGTTTGCTTAGGGGAAGGAGCATGACTTAGATGAGGAAGACACTGAAGGCACATGTCTTAGCAGTAACCCGTGAAATGGACACCGCTTCCAAAGCTCCCAGCCCTCAAAGCCTCGCTACTCTGGATACCAAGGGCAGCTCACGGGAGCCGTCTGCCTGGTTTCCGGGAACAGCTGTTTCACGTGTCCTCACTGAAGGGGATGAACAGAGGGGGTGAATGGGCACCCACTGTGGCGATGGCTCTCCAGGGCATGACTGGAGACTGCCTTCCTGACCAAGGCCCCACCTGGAACGTGTTTCAGTGCAGGGCTCCTCCACAGATGGTTCTTGGCCGTGTTTCCATACTCTGAACCTGCTCGGAAAGGCTGCTACATCTCACCCACTAAAATATTTGCCGTCACCCTGGTTGGTGCTGTCGGCGACCTTTGGCTACAGTATTAGAAGACCCTATCATTTGTGCCTAAAATTAGCAAAGACTTAAGTCAAGGGCTGGGGTGGTTGGGGGTGGATGCTAAGCTTTGCCTTGGGTTGTTCAATGTGAATGTAAAATGCCGATGAGATCAGGTCCCTAACCTCTGCCTTCCCGACTTTGTGACTGCAGGGATACCATGGTTGAGGACCACCGTTGCTACCCTGGGAAGACTGGGGATAACCATGGCCTTTGAAATTGTTTATTTGGTAAATTCAGAATTGTACCCAACAACATTACGGTAATTCCAACATGTCATGATTTCTCCTAAATAACTCTGCAGCCCCATGTTTAAGTTGACGTAAAAACTACCACATAGTCTACTTAGTTTGGTGGCCTATTGGTGTGGGCTGGATTCAGCCAGCAAGGAAGATGTGCTTTCAATGATAGGTGCTTTCTGCATTGCAACCTGCCACATTTTGTAATGGAAATTTTTCTCATGGCAATGTCTTTACACACAACTGTGCTTTTGGAGAAAGGCGCTAAACTTGAATTCAGAATGCCTCTTAGCGTTCTTGCTCAAATGTGGGTTACATTTGCATGCATCAGCTTCAGCCCATTTAAGGCTATGGCATCTCTTGGACCACACTAGATGTCTTACATCTGTAAGTAGCTGGTTATTGAAGGACAAAGACGAAGCGGTGTGCATGGATTAGTGCACGCTGGCCTCCTTTGCTGGGAAATATGCCATGGGCACACCTTGCTCCAAACCAGGGTACCAGGATGGGACATACGTGTCACAGAGCAGGTAGCGCCAGGAGCTGCGGATGGATGAATGGCTTTCTCCTGCACCAGAGTTCCCCACTGCCCCCACCGCAATATGGCACAGAATGGAAATGGTTTGCTTAGGATACCACAGAGGGATCGTTTTCAATGTGATTGTAGAAATCATAGCAATGGAAAGTATTGTCACAATTCCTTCGTTATTTAATGGAATATTTTAACGATCTTGAATCTATTTATTTAAATAGGTTCACTTAACACTCTTCTTTATCCTACAGAAACTTTGGAGTTTCACTCTGTTCGGGTTTATGTGATTTTGGGGGCATCATAGCCCCGTTTCTGCTCTTCCGGCTAGCAGCCTTGTGGCTAGAACTACCTCTGATCATCTTTGGTAAGGACTCATTTTATCTGCTCGTCTTTTTTGTTTGTTTGGGTTTTGTCATAGGGTGTGTGTGTTTGGTGGAGAGAGACAGAGAGAGGGAGAAGTGAGAAATCAGCCCCCAGGGAGAGATGGTCAGCCACAGTCCCTTCTCCATTCTCCTCTCAGGATTTTGGGCAGGCAGGTCCACATGCCTGGTGTGATTTTCAAGCTGCTGCATCCGTGACTCAAGTCTCAGCCAGCCATGTAGGAATCCAGGGCCTTCACCACCACGCCACCTGCTGGCCCCTTATCTGCTATTCTTAAGTGCTTTCATCTATATTCTTTGCATCATTAGAACCCTGTGGTGATTATTAGGTTTGACGTTAATGCTACCTACTTACCTTTCATGACAACTGTTTCAAGTTAGAAGAGCCCATCTGATTACAGCAAACTTTGAAATGCTGCATGGTTCTCAGTAATGCTAAAAGGTAGAAACATCCTATTTAACCTTCTTTAAGGTTCCAAGTTAAAATATTATGGGAACCAGCAGTTAGCGTAATGGCTATGTCGCTGGACTCCCACGTAGTCGACCACGGTTCGTGTCCCGGACCCGGTGGCTTAAAACTCACGCCGGGCGCGTGTGCGTGCGTGCCCAAGATCCCGAGAGGAGAATGGAGGAGAAGGGATTGCGGCGTGACCATCCCCCCTGGGGGGTGATTTCTCGCTTTCTGTCTCTATGTCTGTCTCTGTCTGTCTGGCGAGTGCACGCACCCTACAGTGAAAATCTCTCCAAAAAATATATATATATATTATGAAACTCTTTTATGATAGGGAACTGAACCAATAATTTTCAAGCTACTTAACTGGATCTTCAGACTAAAAGCAAATTCATTTTGTAAATGTTTTATATCTATTGATATCATCTCTTAATTTGCTTTGGTGCTAAAAGGTTCTGTTGAAAGGACAGGGACGCGAAATCACCTACACGCGTACCACAGCCTCTTCAAGGTCCCTCAAGTTCACACCATCCTTCCTGCTAATGATGACCTTTGTAGGACTCTTGAGGAGATAGAATCTTGATCTGGGGAGGGACCTCAATGTGATCCCATGCCGTTCCTGCCCGGACCTCACACCCCTGCCTCCCCAGCTGTGAAGGGTGCAGGCTGGTCCCTTTCCGGACCTGCCTTTCTTCCACCTCCACTTCCTTCCTCCTGCATAGAATGTTCTCATTCATTGCTCAACCGTTGCCATTTGAATGCAAAGATCCAGTCCATGAGGGCATGCATTCTGATTCATGCGAATATCCTCCGATGGAGGTGTGGGCAGAAAGGCAGCCTGGAAGTCCTGGCAGCAGGAACGGCGAGAGAGCAGCTGCAAGGACTGACCGCCCAGCTCAGTGCTAACTCCACAGCCAGCACAAAATGCAGAGAGGGTCAGCTGCTGTGCAGCAGGCACTGAGTGGCCGACAGAGGGGGCACTGCAGCCTAGACTCACGTGGTCCAATGCTGCAGTCTGACCGGCAGACGAGCACTGGGCTGTGGCACAGGCCTTCCGGTACACAGCTGGGGAGAGAACCAGCTCTCCATAGCTCAGCGATGGGAGAGTGAGAAAATCCTGGAAAAGCATCACTGGGACCCCAGGTATGAAAGGGCTTGCCCATAAGGTTTGCCGATTCGGAGGCCCGGCAGGAGACACGAGATTTCCTACAGGGCTGGGCAGAGAACGGTCCGTGCCGTGAGCAGAGGCCCAGGGTGTGTACGCTGAGGGTGGAGGGTGCGCCATCACCTGTAAGGTTGGCACAGGTGGCCGTCTCCTTCCTCGTACACTGCTAGTTACCAGGTAGCAGGGTCTCCAGAGCCTGCACGTTCACTTGGTGCCTCTGATCTTGGGGTGTTGGCGTGTCGGGACGCACAGCTCTGGGACGGCCCCAGCCACGAGCCGGTTCCGTGAGGTAAGGGAATGGTCACGAGATGTTCGAAGGCCCAGCGGGCCCGCAGTCAGATCTCAGGGAGACGGCGTGGGGGTAGGGGAGAGGGAGAGCCCGATGTTGGAGCCGCCCTCGCAGAGGCTGTTCCCAAGGTGCATCTCAGGAAGACCTGACCCCGCTGAGTGGGCGGAGAGGGCTGGAGGAAGGAAGCATGTCTGGGCTAGGTCTGAGGATGAGTAGGAACATCCATGTGAGCGGTGCAGGCTGTGCTCCAGCGGAAGACCTAGCACAGGAGGAGGACGGGGTCCTCAGGCACAGGAGCTGAAAGCATGGAGTGCAGTGTGAGGTGGGGCCTGTGGGGGCCCGGGGTGGGCTGGTGTGGAGTCCCGAAGGGTGACGGCCGGGCAAAGGCACTGCTTCCACCCAGACGGCGACGCCTCCTGGAGTTTACTGGGGGCTGGCAGAACTGGATGCTTCTGAGAAATGTGACTGATGGCAGATATGCAGATCAGCTTGGTGCGGCGCCAACAGTGGCAGTGAGGAGAGTGCCGTGACAAGGGACAGTGACAAATGAGGACATGGAGCTGGAGAGCAGTGGACGGAGTCGGGACCGTTAGAGCCGGATGGGCCAGGCGGACAGCTGACAGGGCAAGGGGCAGCCGAGGCCAGGGCAGCAGGTCTGCAGGAGGCCCAGAGGGCTGGTCCGTGTGGCCCGTGAGCCGCGTGAGGGGCCATCAGAATCCAGGTGGAGATGGTGAGAACCCAGTGTCCCAGTGTTGCTGGACTCGGGAGAAACGCGAGCCCTGGGGCTAGGGATCTGCGGGCCTTCTGAATGTAGGTAGCCATTGGAGCCATGAGGTGGGAGGCCACCTCCTCCCAGGAGGCCAGGACAGAGTAAGAGGATGGCGGAAGCGAGGACAGCATCCTGAAAGGTGGCCGAGGGTAGGACAGGCAGCGGGTGCGGAGCAGCCAGGAGAGGGGACGGCGAGTGGAGCAGAGGGAGCCCAGGAGAGGCAGGGACACAGAGATGGCTAGTGCAGACAACGCCAGACCCTGGTCAGGACAGGAAGCGGGGCCACTGGGTCTTCAGGTGGAGGTGGGTAGCCACCAGCCACCTGGCTGGAGTGGGCCAGAGAGGACATGGGCGGAACCCAGAGCAGAGCGTGGTAAGGTGGGGTCCGACTTGCAGCCTGTGCTAGTACTGGCCTGGCTGGGTCAGCAGGGGCCCCGATACAGTCTGGAAAGTTCTGCGAGCCAGCTGCTGAGCAGGGGTCAGCTGCCAGACCGATGGCAGTAAGACCGATGTGCTGGGAGGCAGCCCCACGTGGGGAGGTTGTCAGTTTGCACCTGGAGACCTCCCGGAGTACAGCAGGCACACGTGCGCTGTGAGCCAGGCGGGCTGCAGCTGGGGTAAAGATGGTGTCAGGACTCTTAGGGTCCCCCACCCCCCGTTGTCTCTCTCAGGGAATAAGATAACTAAGCTTTTAAAAATTAAAGTATATAAAATATACTAAAACCAGGTTATTAATACTCAAACCTCATCAGGTTCTAATTCGCCCACTCCATTTCCTCTGCCATCTGTGCAGTGAGTTTATTTCTGTCTCCTGTACCTTTGTGGGGAGACTCCCTGGTGGGGTGCAGCGGCACACCTGTCCCCGGTACCGCAGCGAGCCACATCGTATCTGAAGTTGGAAATGGCCGCGCGTGACAAATCGGGGTTTTATATTCCGGGGTTGCTAACCATTTCCAGTGCTCCATTAGGTGTGAGGCTATGAAGAGGATAAGAGAGGACAAGGTTCAAAGCATTCTGGCCCTGAAGAGCAGGACAGGAGCAGGGTGGTTCCCGGAGGGCGGCGGGAGGCCCAAGTGTGTCTGACTGCTTCTTCCAGTGCGCTGCACACACGGGTGGGACCGAGCGTGGCAGCGAGAAGCCCAGAGTGACGGGCCAAGAGGAGGCCGATCCTCAGGCAGAAGCAGAGTCACGGCTTCCGCTGAGACGCAGCAAGAAGGGCCGGGTGGTGAAGTAATGGTGTCCGTAAATGGAAGCCCAGCCGGTTCCTCTCTAGAGGCTTCCGCTTTCCAGGTGAAGCAGGAGTTGAGGCCGTGAGTGTGGGGCACTTAGTAGGCACTCGGTGAACAACTGCCACATGGGTGAGCGAACAGCCGTGTGCCCGGATGCAGGGCCGTGGCCTCTGCCGTCTAGGGAGGTGGAGAACATGGGAGCTGTGGCAGAGGGAAGCTGGTGGGCGGTGCTGCGGCTAAGGGCTCCCGAAGGCCCCCAGGAGCTGGCGGCTTCCAGAGAGCCCCCCAGGACAAGGCAGGCGAGCCCATGCATTTCTGGGGTGGTAACACCTTGCCTTGGCTCCCAGGTGTCCTGGCGTCTCTCTGCGGTGGCCTCGTGATGCTTTTGCCTGAAACCAAGGGCATTGCCTTGCCGGAGACGGTGGACGACGTAGAGAAACTTGGCAGGTACTGTGCAAATTCAGTGCGTCCTACACACGAGCAGGATTAGACACCTTCGGAGAGAGGGCTGCACGGGGAAAGCCCAACATCCGCAGGAAAAAGTCAACATTAAATTCCCACCTCACGTCCTAAGCACACATTTGAAGTAGATTTGAATGGCTTAATGTTAAAAAGAACAAAACGAAAAACAAAGCCAGGCTCAGCCACAGTAGCACCGTCTGGATGCTACTGCTCAGGGTGCGCTGCTTGCAGGCTGACCCACCCGGGGGGCCTGGTTCAATTCCTGTGCCCCCTGGAAAAGTCGAGCGTGGTGGTGCATGCTAAAGTTTCAGCTACTCAGGAGGAGGAAGCAGGAGGAATGTGACTTGGTGAAACCCTGTCTAAAATACACACACAACACACACGCTATCAAAGAATACATATCATATTTAAAATGTTGTGACAAAAGGTGCATTTTCACATACATTGTTAAACTCAGAAGTGCTCTAAGAAGAGAGCCCGATGATTGACAAAGAAAGAAATGTGGATGAATACGGAACAGACTGAGGAGACGATAACCTATCTGCGATTGATAAAATCCGTACTCCACAAGTTCTAATTTTCTGTTTGAAATTTTTCATAAAAGTATAAAAGTATGAAGATATATAATAAATGTCAAAATTAATAATAAATATGTCATTTATTAAATAACCTGGGAAGAGGGTGTAGGAGACAAGACCCTCGGCTTTCCAACTATAGACTTCTGTATCATTTGAAGTCTGTTTTTCAGTTACAGTACAGGGTCTTAGAAAGCGTCTTACCAATAAAAACTGAAGCTACACAAATTCTTTCTACTTTTTTCCATGTTTACATCTTTTTGTTATAGAAAGTTGGGTAAATTAATTGATTACACCTAGTTACCTTTGAAAAAAATTCTAGAGAGAGTGTGAGGATACTTCAGAAAGGTTGTAGAAAAAATGAAATTAAAGTATGAGTTCATTTTGGTGCAAAGCATCTTGAAATCCACAGATAGTATTTTCATAATATGCATTTTGAACTCTCTGAAGACCCCCTCGTGTTGATTACAGTTCTACAAACTAAGCACATTAATTGAGACTCATGATTGTTCTGGGGGAAAAAAAAAAAAAAGAACTACTTAGTGCAGATTTTTTGAAACTGTTAGCATTTCCTCTTCTGAAACTGCACTGAAGTGTAAAGTCATTTCCCTTCCTTCACATCAACAGCTCGTTTCCAAACTGTACGTTGTATTCCGTCGAAATGCGTAAAGAACTCGTATCTGTAACGCTAGCTAAGCCCTGTGCAGAGTCCGAGAACAGGCACACGTGAGACTGGAAGCTGTTGCTGTGGTCAGCTTCGAGCTGAGTCTTTACGAGAAGTTACGCATGAATGACTGTATTTGATAGAAACCAACTATGCTAGTGAATGAAAATCAGACTTTCTTCCGACCAGCCACTTGACCCTTCGTAAGGACTTTATCTTTTCTCCTTTGTTTTGTTAGTCCACACGCCAGTAGCTGTGGCAGGAAAAAGAAGACCCGGCTTTCCAGCTCTCACCTTTGAGGCTCTACCAAAGGCAGAAATGGGGAACAGTCCACGAGAGATCCTCCCCGGAAGCTGCACCGGGCACGAGGGGTGTGTCTGTCCATTTCTAACTGCCAGGCTCTGCCGCCCCAAGGGTTTTTAAAAGCCATTCAAACTATCCAGGGTATTTCTATATGATGTCGGATGCGTTAGGCTGTATTGCGCTATTGACGTTTCTGGAAACACGTGATACCATGTGTGGCTGGTTTAGCAAAGCCTGTTTCACGGCCCTTCCTGAGGGCTTTTCTGGGCTTGGAGCAGTGGGCTCTGTCCCATTCAGTTAGAGACAGAGAAGCCCCCATCTGATTCTCATGACAGCCCCAAGAAAAGGTAGGGAACCGCGGATTGGCCGAAGGGGTGGAGAAATTCGTGTGTCAGATCTGATCAAGGAACCGAGGCCTCAAACCAAGTGACCCAAGATTCCGCAGAGGATGAAGATCTGGGTTTCTGCTAGTGAGGAGACCGAGTCTAAGGACCTCGGGCACACAGCGCGGAGCCTCTGCTTTGCCGTCTCGCCCTGAGCCCTGCAAGCCTCGGGAGCATGGCCAGGGCGGTTGAGCTTCCCATCCACTCCTCTGCAGCCTCTGGGGTCTTAGGGATGGTTCAGAAGTAAGGATGTACCTGGGTTTGATTTGGGATTGGTTCTATTATTTATAAAATCCAATCTGGGTCCTGAGAGTGTCCCGGATATTTGGGTCCTGTTTAGTGAACCCTGCAGCCATGGATCACACTCTTTACCAAACAAACCCCTTGGGCTGTGATTCCGGGGTCTCAGGATCAAGAGTAAAGGGAGAGGGTCTTGTACCGGTGAGGTCAGTTCTGATGGCACCTGCTCAGGAGTGAACGTCATGGACTGCCTACTTACTCAGTGCACTTTCTGACTCATTTGGGGGCAAAGCCTGCATTTTGATGAAAAGAAAGGTCAATTGTATCCATGCTTAAAAGAATTAGCAGCAGTTTTATAAGTGGCCTTATAGATACTAATAAGGAATCAGATCTTTTTTGGTTATCGAGACTTTTGAAATGTGGAACTGAAACACAGATATGGTGTCCCGCTTTGTATGTGACCTTGGTTATATTTTCACGGTTAGTAGAATGTTTAAACGGATTGCTACATGGGGACAGCGACCTGGCTACTGAAGGGAAACCTTGCCAGTGAGGAAGGAATCCTGCATGTGGAGAACAAGGGACAGTATAGACCATGTACGTGCTCATTGTAAAAAGCTTCCTAATCCCCAGAGCCGCTCGGAATCGAGTATGAATGCTCTCTCTGTCAGTGAAGCCCACACAGCCAGCGCTTCGCTCGTTATTCAAGGGTGTGTGCGTTCGGGGTTTTTTCTTTTTTTTGCTGCAAGATGACTGTTGCTCTTTGATATTATCACCTTCGAACTATATTTTGATTTGCTGTTTTCGTTTGGTAACAATAAACCATTTTAAGTTGTAAAAAAAGAAAAATGTCCTTTGTCTTCCTCCTAAACTCTTGCCAGCGTGAACATCGTCCCAGGACTGAGTGTGGTCCGCTTTTGGAGCCGGCAGCCGAGCGCGATGGCAAACACGTGCCAGCCTGCTGCCCCTTTGGCGTGTGGCTCCTTTACAGGCTCTTGGCATCACTCCTAGACCCAACTGTGACTGTGAATAACACTCAGACTCCGGACTGGTCTTTATCCCACCCTACGGCCCGGTTTACCCATGACACGAAGCTCTCCGCTCTGTGTTCCCCGCGCTGGGCCGAGTCAAGTTGTCAGTAAGAGATTTTCTCCCCAAGAATAGAACATGTTCTCATGACTCGCCATACATGTACAGCTCTGCAAACGCATCTCGGTGCCAGGAATAAAGACGTTACAGATGCATGTCGAGCTGTCTGGCCGACCAGGTGAACGTCCACAAGATTGAGTAGGCGTGGGTGTTTTCTGTGGTTTTACACAGACCCACCCGCGGATGCAGCTTCTAGGCCCCTTATCTAATTACTCATTGTGGAAAATATCACTCTTTTCTTAAAATCATAGGATGTAGGATGCACAAAATAAAACAACAAACAAAAACAAAAATCAAAGGAAGTACAGAGTTTATTGTCGGCAAATAGCATAGCTATTTTTCCTGTTACAGAATTCAGTAGTTCATGGACAGGAAAAACGTATCCACAATAATACAAAGAACATGCTGAGCTTTGGTAGGAGATGGTGGCTAAGTAGTGTCTCAGTTTGATTATTGTCGATCATTTCTGAGCAAGCTCGATTCCCTCGGCCTGCTCCAGCATTCAGGTAAGTTGATAACTTCACTCCATCTCCCATCCAGTTAATTCTTTCTCATTATGTCTTCAATCCAAGTGACATACCTTGAAACGCGAACGTAGACACCAGGCTTATTGGGGCGTGCACAGCCAAGACCCCAAGAAGTGACACCTTGCAAGATGTATTTGTCCTTCTCAAAGCAAACCAGAGGCCCTCCACTGTCACCCTGTACAGAGAGGAGGAAAAATCCAGTGTGACGATTAAGCTACCCTCCTTTCAGTGTGGGATATCATCCTTTTATTGTCCACATGTACGTTTTCCAAGTATTTGAAACCAGAAAGGAACTTATTAACATGGTATTCGGGCATCTGCAGCGTCTAAGTACTTAGCAGAGTATACTCAGCAACATCTGCCGCTTCATCTTCCCTGGGGAGAGCGATCCCTTGTCAATGCTGTATCCCTCCTCCCCTCCCACCACTTGCCTTGGGTATCTTCTGGACAGGGCTAGCTGGAGCGCAGTCGTGAAGCAGAAGCAGCTGGTCTCTGTCCCAGTACCTTCTGCCCTCTTCCCTATTGGAAAGGCCACCCCCTCAGCCCCTTGCACAAGCTCTCGCCAGGAAGAGTGTGGCCAGAGGTACTCACAGCACTTACCACTCCCTCTCTAATCATCTGAAAAGCAAAGCCAAGAAATGGCCCCAAGAACAGCCACTGGGGACAGCCCAAGAGAGGTTAGCCTGGGGCCTTTGGTTGCCAGTTGGGGACTGAAATGCCCGAGGAGCCAAGATAGGCCGCACAAGCTGAACTTTGGTCTCTCTAGTCTTTTCTTACCTGGCAACTGTCCGTGCCTCCGGCCAGATGCCCAGCACAAAGCTCGGTCGATTTGACCCTCCCGGCCAGGTACTCGAAGCGGTTGCATACTTTGTTCTCAATCACAGGGAGCTGGGCTTCCTTGAGAAGGCCAGCACCAAAGGTTCCTGTGTTGACAAGAGTGAGGAAATAGTTACTGCGCCCAAAACGTGTTCAGGAGGAAGCTTCCAGAACAACAGAGCAGCCATGAGAGAGCTCCGGTGTGTCCATGCGGTAGGATGTCGAGTCAGTTCTTAGTACCGCGAGAGCTCTTCTTGATCCTCCAAAGTATACACATGATATACGATTTCACGTTCCAGACCTGAAGTGAACAGCCTGGGCTCTTTAATAGTGTTTCGGGTTTGTTGTTATTTTTTTACCTTGCTTTTCTCTTAAAACTGTAAACAAAATTTTAATATGTAAAGAAAATTGGGGAGATATAATCACTATTGCTTTTGTGTGTGTGTGTGTATATATATATATAGATAGATAGATAGATATAGATATAGTTTTTTTTTTAAGAGAGATTTTTGCTATAGGGTACATATGCTCGCCAGAGAGACAGAAAGCAAGAAATCACTCCCCGGGGGGATGGCCACACCACAATCCCTTCTCCTGGGATTTGGGGCACATGGGCCCAGCATGATTTACAAGCCACTGGGTCCAGGACTTGAATTGCAGTTGGTCATGTAGGAGTCCAACACCTTAACCACCATGCCACCTGTTGGCCCTATGTTGTACATATTTTATTGCAATGAAAAAAGAAGACCAGCCATCACTTACTGAGAATTGACTGCCCAGACACAAGCTCATAAGGCAGAGTCCCAAGTAACCCTCACAGCAGGTCTATGCAGCGGGCACTCGAATCACTCCTGCTGTATAGTTAAGGAATCTGAAGCCTAGAAAGGTGACAGAGTTGACCTTGAACTTGGTCTGCCAAGTCTTTGCCCAAATGCTTCCCATGCTCATTGGCTCCTACTCCTGCACCCGGGATCTTTGCTTATACAACTTGTTCTTCTTTCTTAAATTTTTCTTATGTCCAGATTCCCAGATGTAATACACGCATATTTATGGCTTCTAATACATGCCAAATTATTTTTTAAAAGGAGGTAACAGTATAAAATGCCACTAGGAAAAAAAAATCACTTTACTACACTCTTAAGAGTATCCATTCAGGAGGAGAAGGGATTGCAGCGTGACTATCCCCCCTGGGGGGTGATTTCTCACTTTCTGTGTCTATGTCTCTTTCTGTCTGTCTGGCGAGCGCACGCACCCTATAGCGAAAACCTCTCAAAAAAAAAAAAAGTATCCATTCAAAAAAATATGTATGTTAGCTAATACGCTAGGTGGATGTCATCCTGGCTCATTTTCTAGCGTACAGTTCTTTGACAACTATGGGGAGCAAACATTCTCTTGTGTGCTCGTTTTACTAGTTGGAGTTCTTCTTTTGAGAAAAACAGGATCTGCCCGTTACTGTTAAACTGAAAAATTGCCAGAGTAAACACCGCTCTGGATGGACACACCCAGCAATGTCTCGGTGTTCTCACCAACAACCACGTTTCCTAATTTTGCGGGCCCAGCTTTCAGTGGAGCTCTACAAATGCTTTTGCTTTGCTCACATGGAGCAGCCAAGAAATGAGGAACTATCTCTACTCCACTGAGCTTGGGTATTGTTTGAGGCTTGGAAAACTCAGCACTCGGTCTGGAGTTCACATGGGCACAGAAGAGGCTTGTCCCAGTGTCTTACTCCAGAGCCCAGGTGGGCCCCCCTTGGCAGAGCTGTATGGGAGAAGTCCTAGCCCTGAAAGCACCAGGCAGCCAGATGTGCAGGGGGAGCCCCCTTCTCAAAATATGTTGCTGCAAATTAATCTGAAGTGCCATGCCTCCTCTGTCTGCTTCTGAGCAAGACAGACATCCTAATGCTAGAGGAAAAACCCAGAGCTGTCCAAGGGAGTTTGAGTTCTGTGACGATGTGCTGCCATCCTGTGTCCAAAGTGA